GCTCCATTTCCAGCACCAGCGTTCTCTTCTCCACTTTCGTCAATGCTCATTAAGGAGCAAAACATAGATTGTAACGCTTCAATGCTTTCTCGATGTGTGGGATTTCCTAAAGCTGCAGCTCTCGTTAACCAATACATATAATCATCCCCTTCACCCACCAACGACCAAATCAATTTTCGCACTTTACAGAAAAATCAATCATGTTGTAGGATACAACATGTTAATGCGGGGCTATACTTAAAGTTTGTATGATCTCAGATAAGTACGAGTACTTTTTCTGTAAAACGCGACATGCCAACTTCACCGTAACTCCGACATACAACGTCGCCTGCGGCTTAATGTAGTATCCTACAACGTGTGGAACATAAAGTAGAAATCATGCTACTGTTGCTGCTGACCTTTTTATCAAGAAAAAAGCCACGACCTCTTCCATGTAATCAAGCGGCAAGCAATCGTTGTGAACGCAACAAAACCTACTAAAATAACGACAATCTACTGGCTAAACACATTGTATTGTGTTAGACTACTTTCCCGCATCAAAAGGTGACAACTCTGCTTCACCGATGCCCTCGTCACATCACTCTTTATTCTCCTCTTCATTATTGTCCTCGCCATCAGCAGTGTCCTCGTCCTCGGCGGTGTCCTCGCCCTCAGCACTGCCCTCGCCTTCCGCGTCGTCTTCACCCTCAGCAGTGTCTTCCTCGTCAGCGGCCTCACCCCCTGCTCGTCTGCGCCGTTTTCGTTTTCCGAGTCCTGCACCAGCCTCGCGGTTTTGGATATCACGGCCGCACCGCGGACGAGGTCGCTCAGCACCATTCTTCCATGGGTGGTGCCATATTTGGTGGCAAGTAAGCGTATTGTTCTTTCAATGGGGCCACACCTTATTACACAAGTACGTTCTGAATAGTGAATCACGTTGTTAGTAAAATGCCAATACTGTCGTTCAAAGTATCATACCTTGTTTTCTCAGATGGACTGCAGCCAGGGCAATAGTACTTGGTTGCGCGGCGCTCACCGATACTGCGCTTGCGGTTTGAGCATACCTTGCACTGCCGTTGTCTGCGTTTGCGCTGCCCGTTGATCTCTTGGTAGTCTGGTTTTTCGCGCGGCACATGATCTGCTGGAAGTGCACTAAGAATCTCACCTGACCCTCTCACTGTGGCTGGCGCTGTATACACACAAGTAAACATGTTGTAGGTGAACACGTTGTATACATGTCGTATAAGAACATGTTGTATCCATCGTACCTCAGCAAAGTCTTCTTCAGTGAGATCAAGCATCTGCGCTTGAAGTTGCGTCAGGAACTCGGCATGCGTAAGTGGCTTACCATTGCGACTCTTCTGTGCCTCGCGGTAGACTATGTACGCGTTCACGATCGCTACGTCCACCAATCCCAAGAATATAGCCTTGTAATACTTCTTGCACTTCGTCTGTTGCTGAAGCGAGTAGCGCTGAAGACGCAGCTGGTCATGTACGTCGACCCCGCCCATCCAGCGATGATAATCTCGCATCATTGAAGGGCAAGGGATCTCAGAGCGCCTACCACCTGACTTCCAACGGTCTGAATAGACAGCACAAATATTAGCATGATTTCTATGACAGATAAAACTAGCAGTACTTACAGCAGCTCTCCATTGCACGACTCCCTCCAGTTCCAAAAAGAAGAACTGGCCGGCGGTCCCACCACACTAGGCTAGTCATCAGCGGACAATTTTTGGCCACGGCCATGCGGGTAGTTCCATGGTCAATCTTTTTCGGACGTTTACCACTCTTCACTGCGATGTCTTGACAGAAGTCCTGACGGTCGTCTTGAATTGTACCCACGCAGTAAACTTGCCTTTTCAACAACTGGTAGGCTAGCTGCACCGACGTATAGAATCGATCCATCGCAACGAGATAGAATACACCGGCTTTTTGAGGGGGAAGCACCGCTTCCAAATTCCTCATCACTGCTGCAGGCCCTGTATTT